CATTACTGTTAAACCTAACTCTTTGCCTGCTGTCGGCAGTGTACAAATGCTTTTTCTCCTCCACTGGTTGTTCATGAAATCGTTTAACAGCTTCCAACATGGCATCCATTATATGTAATGGAATACAATGATTCACTATTCGAAAAAAGCCCCACATACCGGCCGCCTTCCTAATCTCCTCCACGACCTCCTTCCGCCTTGCACCACCAGTTTTAGCCCCTTCAAAGTCTATTGTGGGCAACTCAAGTTGAACGTTCTTGGCGGTTTTACCTGGTGTTGCCAAACTTTCCTGCGGATGCACGAAGAATCGAGGGATTTTCGCTACTCCGACATCCACCAGTCCCTTGACACCAGCTTTTGTTTCATCAAATTCCTTCACTTCTTTAGCCCAATCATATTTTCCATTGCTAGTAACCACCATTATGAAACAGAGTTCTATATGTATGCTCTTGTAGATATAAAATGAGTGGGTGGAATTGTTTATCTTGCATGGCATTTATATAGTGGTAGTGAAGTTTGCCAATGTGGGGACAAATCCAAGTTAGTGAGATAACATATTACGTACGTGTTACATAGAAATTTCAGAACACAAATTTTGAATGCAAACTTATTCTGCTTACTAGGCACATTTTTCAAAATTTAGGCGGGTTTGTTTTTCTCGGTCTTCTAGAATTACTACTTGATTTAAAAATAAATATTAATTAGTGAAAGCTACTATATACGCGCTAAAGGGGCAACTAGAGAAGGAGGTGACAACTAGGAAGAAGGGATCGACTTTTGAAGGCTGAAAATTGGTAGCAATTGACTGAAAAAGTTGTTTACTGTGGGCTAAATCCTAAAATTCATGGATGGTATTGGAGAGTAAAATAGGAATCAACAAAATATTCAACGATGATTACGTAAAGTAAGATGGTATTTGGTAGGGATTAAAATTAGATTTTTAGTGGATTGTGATAAAAAATTTTGAAATGTTTATTTTCTTTAAGTCAAATTAACTCTATATATACCCCTTTCTAATTTTATGTATTTATTTATTGTTCCTATTGCAGTTTAGTAATAATAAATAATTGGGAAAATTGAAGCAGTGGTTCCTAACATTTCACTTTTTTGATAATTTTATCCTAACTTTAATTTGTGTCAGTGAAAGTCCATAACCTTTCAAAAATTTGCCGCAGAGTTCCAAATGGACGGTTTCCATCCATTTGACCGTTAGTTGGCAAAAAAAAACAAAGAAAGAATTTTGACCAAATTAAAAAGGGCAAAATTGTAACTTGATAATTACCATATTAAAAAGATGAACCAAAAAATCAAAAAATAAAATAAAATCAAGAAACAAATAAAAAAAAGGTTGACTCCTCCAGTCGCCCGACCACACCACACCGTCTTCCCCCCTGTATAATATGTTTTCACATTTAGATCTAAAATTAGTCCTCTAAATCCACCCCTAATCTGTAATTTCGTATATGAACTAGGTACCTTCATTCCTAAATCTAAAATTCTCCATTTTTTTTTATTGAGATTGATTTTTTCATTTTTAGATTTATATTGTGGTGATGTTCATCAGCAGGAAGAAGTGTGATGATGTTATTGGTGATGGACTTTCTTCCCAAATCTGAACTTTCTTCACTATTTTATTTCTCCATTTTCAAATCTAAATTTTGGTGATATTCGATGACAAAAATGTAATGATGTTTGTTTGGAGGAATTAATAGAGGTTGTTGGCATGATGGTGGTAGCTTATAGCGGCTATTGGTGGTGGTGATGATGGGAAGTGGTTGGCGGTCTAATGCTGTGACTGTTTTGCTCACACACCCCAC